TTCTATATGTACTTCGTTGAGAGTTTTTATCATAAAATGATGCTGAATTTTAGCAAATGCTTTTTCTGCTTCTACTGAGGTGATCATATGCCCCCAATTTGGGGACCTGGCCTGCAACCCAGGTATGTGCCCTGACTGGAATTGAACTGGCAACCTTTCAGTCTGCAGGCCAATGCTCAATCCGCTGAGCCACACCAGCCAGGGCTGTCCTTGTCTTTTTAATTTTTTTTTTTAAGGGCACTTACTATAAATGTATGGTTACCTTTTGTGAGTCCCCTGCTGGGAACTGGCCTGCAACCCAGGCATGTGCCCTGACTGGGAATCAAACTGCGATCCTTTGGTTCGCAGGCCTGTGCTCAATCCACTGAGCTACACCACCCAGGTTTTTTTTTTTTTTTAGTTTTTAATGAAGTCCATTTAATCTCATAAGTATCGCTACTCCCGTTTTCGTTTCTAGTTACATGGGGTGTCTTGTTAACTAATTTCCAAGTACAAGCAAAAGTTTATTTACAAAGTCACAGAAGTTGAAGTGAGGTGTGGAAGAAGTGAGCCCAGCTAGGCTTTGTGGACTCAGGAAGCAAGAGGCAAAAAAAAAAAAGGGGTGGTGGTGGTGGTCTTTGAAGCTTAGAAGAAAAGCTATGTGCCCTGAGGGGAAGAAAGGAGGGGGGGAGAAATTCAGGTGGGGAGAGGCACAGGTATACTCAAGGGCTAGAAAAAGGGGGGATGTTTTTCATCCTCTCACTTTCAGTCTGTATGTCTTTCAATTATAAGTATGTACTTACTGCCATTTTGTTCATTGTTCTTTTTTTTTTTTCATAGTTCTGTTCCTTTCTTCTCTTGAGGTTTGGTTTTCTTTAGTTTTGTTGGGGTTCCCTTTTTTATTATTTGTATATCTTTTGTTAGTTTTTGGTTTGTGGTTAACATGAAGTTTATGGGTATCATTAGCAGTCTATTTTCAAGCTGATTAGCATTTCAGTTCAAATATATTTTATAAGAACTACATTTTTACTACCCCCTCTACATTTTATGTTACTGATGTTTTATGTTTTAGGTCTTTCTGTGTTGTGTGTCTCCTCCCTACTTACTGTAGCTTGAGAGTTAAGTCTGATACTTTCTTTTGGCCTTCATAGTAGCTTTTTAAATGAGCTGTTGTGTTCCCAGATCTGGAGTGGTCTGCAGAGTCAAGTACTGCAATAGCCTCCCTGACATCCCCTTCGACCCCAAGTTCATTACCTACCCCTTCGACCAGAACAGGTGAGACTAAGATTGTGAATGGGAAACAACTGAGGGCAGGGACCTCTTCTTTTGTTTATTGCTCTCTCCTCAGGGCCTAGAACAGTACTGAATACATACTGTAGTGGTAGATGCCTGATATACTTGATGAGCAAGCAGTGTCCAAGCCTTTTCCCAATGGGAGAGCCAGCCTTCAGACTCCAACATCAGGGACATTCCACTCTTGAATTCCTCCCTATAGAAGTTTAGTGTCTGTGAAGCAGGGATTTGAGTGTTAAAACTGAAATCAGGAAATCATAATGGGCATGTTTTTCCTACCCAGGTTTGTCCAGTACAAAGCAACTTCCTTGGAAAAACAGCACAAACATGATCTCCTGACTGAGCCAGACCTGGGGGTCACCATTGACCTCATCAACCCTGACACCTACCGAATTGACCCCAATGGTATGTAGGAAAGCAGGGAGGACCTGCTTTAAGATAGCAAAGGTCAGGCCTGGGTCTCCATCGTGGTCTTATTGCTTCCTTGCTCTCTTCTAGTACTCTTAGACCCAGCTGATGAGAAGCTTCTGGAAGAGGAGATTCAGGCCCCCACTAGCTCCAAGAGGTGAGAGAGTGCTGAGAGGGGACTGGCTCTAACAGAAGGAGGGTGGTGGTGTCCTGAAGGGCTTGATCCTCTACCCTAGGTCTCAGCAGCATGCGAAGGTGGTGCCGTGGATGCGGAAGACAGAGTATATCTCCACAGAGTTCAACCGTTACGGCATCTCTAATGAGAAACCTGAGGTCAAGTAAGTTGTGGGTATGGAAGGAAGGTGGAAATTTCAGGTGGGTCCAGTGTCCCCTAAAGTCTTCTCTCTTCACCTGTAGGATTGGGGTTTCTGTGAAACAACAGTTTACTGAGGAGGAAATTTATAAAGACAGGGATAGCCAGATTACAGCCATTGAGAAGACTTTTGAGGATGCCCAAAAATCGGTAATTGAGGGACTAAGATGGGGAGAGGCATAAAAAGGAGTTGGCTCCAGAGCTCTTTATCCTGTTCATCCTGTTCTTGTTTCTACCAGATTTCCCAGCATTATAGCAAGCCCCGAGTGACACCAGTGGAGGTCATGCCTGTCTTCCCAGACTTTAAGGTCAGATCTGGGACAAGAGACAGAGGGGGATAGCCTGCCATCTCTGCTCATCTCACTTTTAATTCTGATGCTCTCCATCCCCCAGATGTGGATTAATCCGTGCGCTCAGGTAATCTTTGACTCAGACCCAGCCCCCAAGGACACCAGTGGTGCAGCTGCGTTGGAGATGATGTCTCAGGCCATGATCAGGTAAGTGGCCCTGCTTTCAATCTTGGCATGTTCCTCATTGCCCTTTGTCCTCATTTATCACTGCTCCTTCTCTTCTCCCAACCAGAGGCATGATGGATGAGGAAGGGAACCAGTTTGTGGCCTACTTCCTGCCTGTGGAAGAGACATTGAAGAAACGAAAGCGGGACCAGGAAGAGGAGATGGACTATGCACCAGATGATGTGTGCGTGGGTTGGGATTAGGTTTTGGAGATTAAGAAGCGTGTCTCCCTTTTTCCCTCATTAGGGAATAAATGGGGCTGACCCTGTTCCCCTCATCCTCAGGTATGACTACAAGATTGCTCGGGAATACAACTGGAACGTGAAGAACAAGGCTAGCAAGGGTTATGAGGAAAACTACTTCTTCATTTTCCGAGAGGGTGATGGAGTTTACTACAATGAGCTGGAGACCAGGTACTCAGTGGGCATTCTTACCTCGGATTAGTCTGGGTCTGTGCTTCAGGATCAAGACCCTGGGATATACCACCTTGGAGGTCATTTGTACCTAAGGATTTGTCACATGCATTTGTAAGCAAGAGCAGCAGAAGCCTGCTCATGCATGTGGGCTATACCTGTTTCTAACAAAAGAACACACACAGAAGATCTTAATGTAATGCTGGAGAAATTTAGACCTTTTGTGTAGACAACCAAAGCTTCCTGATATTAAGAGACTTCATGAGAAAGTAAACATAACCAAAGTCTAGGACTACACATAAAGTTAGCATGTTTTAAATGAAATGCTGGGTACCCGAGTGCAAAAATGTGATCCTAAAAACTCTTCCCTGGTGGTTAAAATTTTACTGTTGGCTGGGACCTTTGGGTGTAAAGGTTGGGTGGAGGTGGGGGAGTGTGACCTCAAATTTCTTTTTAAAACTGAAATTACAAATTCTGATCCTGGAAGCCAGGCAGGAAATATGAAAGGCAGCACAGTGAGCTGGTGGAACATGGGTGACCTAGAGCTGTTGGCACCTCCTAGGGACACAACAACCCAGCCCAGCAAAGGACTCCAACGTAAAAAGGCCCACTGGGGCCGTAGATTCATATTTTCCCTAAGCCAGAAATCTAGGTTCTTTGTTTTTAAGTGTTGGTAACTACTTCATGTTAAAATCTATACACACAGGCAACCAAAATGCCATCTTGAGAGCTATTATCCTTCTCCTCCCCTGCCTCAAACCAGTTATTCTCCCTTATTCAGTCTGTACTTATTCTGGTCTGTTCTGGGCTAAGCATTAGTGAGTAACTTAAGAACCAAGTCAAACCAGGTCCCCACTGGGGGGTCTTTAACTACATCTTCCATATCCCTCCCCCCCAACTTGCCCACTGCAGGGTCCGCCTGAGTAAGCGCAGGGCCAAGGCTGGGGTTCAGTCGGGTACCAATGCCTTGCTTGTGGTTAAGCACCGGGACATGAATGAGAAGGAATTAGAAGCCCAGGTAATAAGCACCACTGGCTCAGGGCACCCATGGGGAGTGTGGTGGTGGGTGAAGAGGGAAACAGAAGCCTGATATAATACTGGCTCTTCTTCTAAACCCTGCTGCTTGCCAGGAGGCACGGAAGGCCCAGCTGGAGAATCACGAACCCGAGGAGGAAGAGGAGGAGGAAATGGAGACAGAAGAGAAAGAAGCTGGGGGCTCAGGTAAAAGCAGCATAGATGAAACCCTGGGAGCCCTGGGAGGGTAGGAAACTGGGTCTCACATTCTTTTGTTTCCCTTACAGATGAGGAGCGAGAGAAGGGGAGCAGCAGTGAGAAAGAAGGCAGTGAGGATGAGCGCTCAGGCAGTGAGAGTGAACGGGAAGACGGTGACAGGGACGAGGCGAGTGACAAGAGTGGTAGCGGCGAGGATGAGAGCAGTGAGGATGAGGCCCGAGCCGCCCGGGACAAAGAGGAAATCTTTGGCAGTGATGCGGATTCAGAGGATGCTGATTCTGATGATGAGGACAGAGGACGAGTCCATGGCAGTGACAATGAATCAGAAAGTGGCAGCGATGGGGGTGGTCAGAGGAGCCATAGTCCAAGCCCCAGCCCCAGTCATAGCCCCAGCCCAAGCCGCAGCGCCAGTCCCTTCCCCAGTGGCAGTGAACGATCAGCCCAGGAAGATGGCAGTGAAGCTGCAGCTTCTGATTCTAGTGACGCAGACAGTGACAGTGACTGAGTCCTTTCAGGGCTGGCACGGACATATTATGTGCAGGAAGGCACTTTTCTGTGGTCTATTTGCAAGCCTTTCACTTCACTTCCCTCTCCTGTTGTAAACCTTTGCTGTTAATAAAGCCACTTCTCTATTTCCTGTCACAGGCCTTATGGTCTCACTCTGGCTACATCTCCCCACTCCCACCCCGACCTCAGGTACTCAGTGGCCTCAGCTTGAGGCATAGAAGCAAAGGCCACAGAGGCAGGACCATATTAGGCTTTCAATGAAATGTAGCACAACAAAGGTCAGAATACTTTTTTGTTGTTGCTTTTTTTTTCCAAAATAAGCCCAGACCATTAAACAAGTGAAACTCAAACAAATAAATCTCCAACAGCGAGAAAAACTGTACAGTTACTCAAAGCTGATTCTGCCAGTGGGGCTGGGGAGAAAAGGGAGGGTGAAATCATGGCAGAGGGGCTAGGGAGGGGCTAGAACTGGATAGGTTTAGGGTCCTGCCCATCAGAGTGGGGCCGCCTGCGTCCTGCACACTCTGGTCAGGTAGGGGGAGGGGGCAGCTCTTGCCTCCCATTGTATGGGTATGTATGTGTGGATATCCCTCACTACCTCCTAGTACCAGGCAGAGCCAGCTCACTCTGATGGATAGTGAACCAGACAGGACTGGCTGGGAAGAGGTGAGGGTCCTTTAAGAGGGACACCCTGCTGATTCCAAACGAGGTGGCCCCTGTCCATCCCACTTCCCTGGGCTAGTGGGAGGGGAACTGGAGAAGCCCTGGGAGTTTGAGGGGAATGAGCAAAGGCACAGAAACAAGGAGGGGCCGGGGTGGGGGACTTGCATAGGTTGATGAGTGTGCAAGAGGTACATAAATAAACCTGACACCCCACCCAGCCCGGCACTGGGAGAGGAGGTGGGGACCTGAAGCAGATCCCCAGGGCTATACCACCCCCTGGCTTTCTCCCCTTCCCTGGGCTGAGAGCTGAGGGAGGTCCAGACCAGGAGGGCAGGGGCAAAAAGATTAGGGGGATGGGGTGAGAGTGCAGGGAGGGCAGTGGTTTTAAATTTTTTTTTTTTGGTTTTTTGTTTTTTCCCAACATTTTGTATCTTTAATAACATACACAATGGTTACCAGCCATATTCATAACAAAAGTTATTCATAAAATGTATCTAAAAATAACATTTTTTCCCTTTTCGGTGTGAAAAGCTTGATAATGTCCCAGTGTGGGGGTGTTGAGGGGGTAGAAGGGGTTGGAATAGGGGACCCTGGCTCCCACAACCTGAATCCCCAAATCCCCTTCCCTCCACCTGGGCCCCAGTACAACCCCATAGTAGGAACAGGGACCAGAGGATCTGTATGACTCAGGGCTGGATGAATCTCTGGGATATGCTATAGTGTTCCACTTGATGAGGACATGAAAGGGAGTGGGGGGAGGTTGAAAGAAAAGGAGGTGGGGAAAGAAACCAAAAACCAAACAATCCCCTTCCCTTATTCCTTATCCCCGAATCTTTCAGCAACCAGACCCGGGAGTGGAGAAGAGTATATGTTGGTGGGGGAAGGGGATGTTAAGGCAACAGACTTCCTGACCTCACTTGGCTGTCCTAGCCCCCAACTTCAACCTCTGCATCTGGGGAGCCAGGGCTGGGATTGGGCGGGGGAGTGGGGAAGGGCTAGGGAGTCTGGAGGAGGGGGCTCTGCCCTCTCCCCTCATAAAATTCAGGTTCCCCCTGCCACTTTCTTGGCTCAGAGAGAGGCCTGGGGATTCTAAATATGAGAGGGAATGATCAGAGAAAAACCGTTAAGAACTATATAAATATGTATCTTAAATAGGTCTAAGAAATTAATTGTAGAGAACCTCTGATAAACAGGGCAAAAGGAGGTGAGTGAGAAGACGGTGGCTCCTGTCCTGGGAGAATGATGGGAAGGGGGAAGGAGAAGAAGGTGGCGAGGACAGTGGTTCCTCTCCTCACCAGCCTTCTCCTTAATTAGCGCCTCTCAAAATAACATTCAGGAGAGCAGGTTATCTACCCCACTTCTCTCCCCAAATGCCAGATGGTTCTGAGCAGGCCCCACAAGATAGTGGGTGAGTCCCTGGGGGAAGCTGCTCCCTCAGGAGGGGCAGGTTGTGAGTGGTCTGGAGGAGGCAGAGGTGGGATGGGGCCAGGTGGGAGATGAGGGACGGAAGGAGGGGCAGGCAGGCTGGCCAGTTCCTGCCCTCTCTACTCTGGCTGCCCCCTACTCCCATCCTCATCCTGGCCTCAGCAGAGATCCCTCGATGGGCCTGGGAGTGAGCAAGGCATGTGCCAATGTTAAACAAAAATTAAAAGGATAAGAGAGTAGAAAAATATTAGAATGTATAGCTGAGCCAGCCCACCCTCTCTCGCTGTCGAAGAGAAGCCCGTTGGGGGTTGGCCCCCGCCCGCCGCCCGGGGAGCCTATGAGTGCGCTGGGCTGTGGGTCCTGTCAGATGGTGGAGGTTTTGTCTGTCCCATCTGTGGTAAGAAAGGGAGGAAGGGAGGAAGATCAGGAGCTGGTGGAGGCTTGAGAAAAGGTGCTCAGGTAGCCTGTCATCCCATTCAGGCCCTCCCTGAAGTCCAGCCTCCCCTAGGGACCCCTCAGGATGACTCTTAAGTTGCTCAGTTCAGAGGTGGAGACGCTGCCGGGCAGGTGGGAGCTGGGTCAGGGAAAGAGGAAATGCTCACCACCCAAGGCGTGTTCTGTCATGCTCAGACACAGAGACTCCAGAGTGGGATTGATCTCCAGATCAGGCCCAGGGACCGGACAGTCTGTGGGATACAGCAGAATGGAGGTGTTAAGGACTGGACTGGGGTGGAAAGTAGAGCCAGGAAGACAATGGAAGGGATGGGCTGGCATTGAAAAAAGAATGGGAGATACAAGAGGGAAAAGGAGGGAGAGATGGAGAGACAGAGAAACAGAGCAGAACAGAAATGTTCTGAGACAGGAACACACTAGGAGAGGTGTGGTGATGGACAGAGACGGCCTGGGTGTGTCACAAAGCAGGCACAGGCTGCAAGGGCAGAGGCTCGTCCAACAGAGAAAGCTGGACTTGGCAGACAGAGGAAGTGATGTGAAGCCGAGGGAGCTTCCTGGAGACCACACAGGCTGTGACTATTTCGGACGTACACTGCACACTCTCTTGGGCTCAGAGTCTGGGCATCTACTGGGTGGGTGCTGGGCAGCCCTGTGCTCCGACTGATGACCTGCTCTGCAGAAGTTTAATTAGAACTCTTCCCTCTTGGACTTGCTCCTCTGGGCAGGATTTGATCCAGGCAGGCCACACAGATGGGGCAAATCAGGACAGCAGCCACGGGGCTTGTCCTCAAACTACCTCTCCGGAGGGCTTTCTGTTCTGGAGTCTCAGAGACAGCCCCTTTCCTGGGCTCCTCATTGCTGCTGGGAGGAAGCCTGAGCTTTTTACCTGGTTAGGAAGACCCTGCTCTCAATTCCAGCTTCACCTTTCATCACATCCCCTCTGAACCCTGAGCTCAGGCTGTGTCAGACTACCTAAGTGCCTTCCCTTTTGACCTTGAGCAAGTCACCTCTTTGTGTCTTAGATCAGTAACTGATCAGATAGGAATGACATCTGTGCATTAGGAAGGTTTGATCTGACAGTGCAGTAAAGATGTCTGACAAACAGCCTGGCAAACAGCATACCAGCACAAACAATTGTTCTTATTTTTTGTTCTGTAGTTCATCCACCCAGTCTTTTAACATCATTTACTGATGTCAATCTTTGTGCCAGGACGAACACAATGAACAGGGTCTCCTGTCTTCAATAGCTGGCAGCCCATATTATCTCATATACCAAGAATCCCTACTGATTGGCAGTTTGTGACATGAAGAGTTGAGACCACCTGCATGTCTAAGATCTCTCCAGAGGCAGTCATCCCAGACTAGCCTTACTTGCCTCTGCAGCCTTGTTGCCCAGCAATGGACCTGGCACAGGGTGGAGGCGTCATCCTCGCTCATTGAGCAGGGAGGGCTAATGCTTCTCTGCTCTCCCTTCTGTCTACTTCCCCCTCATTCTGATCTATCCCTGGGCTTGTCTGTGAACACAGACAACAACCCTTCTACTTCAAACAGCCTTTCATGTAAAATCTGATCTAAGAGCTCATGGTTCCGGCCTGGTCACCTGGCTTCTAAAAGAAATTCTGGTGGATTGATAGACAGGACTTCCCTCCATAGAAATCTCCCTGCTTTGACTCTCTCATCCCCCTCAACCCCCTCCAAACTGAGTATTTAATAACCCTTTACAAAGATGGTGACAGAGACCACCAACATGGATACCAAAATTAAGACAGGGAGGGAAAGATGTGGACATGTGGATATGGAAGCAAGGGGTTAGAGAAGGGAGAGAAACGAAGGCAGGATCTGAGAGAGAACACTGAGATGGGGGTGGGGAAGAGTACAAGAAGACCCATGATGAGGGGAGATGGATGCCGAGTGGTGCAAAGGATGGGGAGGGGTGCTTGAGCATATGAGACACAAAAGAGACGCTAAAGGCCAGCTAAGTGTTGTGGAGGCAGAGTCCCAAGTGCTGGGGCGCTTTACCTGGAGGAAACATGAGAATGGCCTGGGGCGACGAGTGGACTGGGAGCGAGTGAGTACGCTGCACAGAGCTGCGGCTCTGGCTGGGCATGCTGTTGCTGCCTCCAGGGTTGGCAAACCAAAGGTTCTGCAAAGGGCATGGGGAGAAAGAAAGTGGGTGAGTGGGGAAGAGGCCCAGGCCCAGGAGGGGTGGAGCAGGCAAAGGAGCACCCTCACCTCTAAGCCAGACCCAGATGTAAAGATATGGACACACACACCCCAGGTACCATCATCCCAACCCCAGAAGCACTAGGTCCTTTATTTTCAGTCGCTCACCTGTCGGCCCTGTCCAAGGCTGGGGCTGGTAAGGGCGTGCCTGGGGGAGATGCCTCCAATACCCGAGGGGCTCAGAAGGCCCATTCTGCTGGGCGGGAGGGCCCGGGGAGGCATTGGGAACTGCCGCTGGGTCCGCCTGGCCACCCCCATCCCCACAGAGCCAGCTATGGGGAGTGAGTTGGAGCCAAACGCCCAGCTGTGAAAGAGCAGAAAGAGTGTCAGTTTAGGTGGATGGGGCTCATCTGTCCACCATTCCTCACCTCTCCCCACAATCCCAATGGGTAGGACAGAACACAGATCTCCCTGAGCCAAGATTCCCTGTCCAAGTTCCTAAATCTTACATTCTGTCACTTCTTGCCCAAGGGTACCCCCAGGATAGAGATGGGGAATGTTCCTTAGCAAAGCAGGTCTCCTAACTTCAATACTCAGCTGTGGTATTTCTGTTATTTGTTTATGGTGAGAAGGGATTCTGTGCCTTCTGCATATAGATAGAGAACAAGGGACAGGCAAGGGGCCTGCTATCAGGACATGAGCTGGTTTTGCCAGCTTATTATCCTACTCTAGTGGTAAAAATATCTTGATTTTTTCTGAAAAAGTCCTCACTGGGTGACAAGTGTAAGTCACCCAGTGACTGAATGAGTCCCATGGATTCCCAGCCCTGAATGCAATCACCCCTCTAAGCACCAGCTGTCAACCAGAAGGGCTTAGGGAGGGAAGGCCTGCCTGGGCTGCCTGCCTACCCTTTCTGCTGCCGGTAGTTCTGCATCTCTAGTGCAGCTTTGCGAGGGAAGGTCCGGAGGAGCTTCAGCACTTGCTGTTTCCAGGACAGCAGACGTTTCTTCTGCGTCTCCGTGAAAGCCTAGAACCAGGGAAGTGAAGCGGGGTGTGTGTGGGGGGGTGGGTGTGTGCTTCTTTCAAATCTGCCTTCTGTTCATTTGCTCAAATATTTATCGACTGCCTGCTCTGTGCTAGGCAATGCGGGGGAATTGGAGGTGACACGTGCACATGTTTAGTTGGGGAGAAGATAATACAATTATGATGAGCACTGCGAGGGAGAAGCACAGAAGGCACCAGAAACCTGATCTAAATATGAGGGGCTGGTTAAGGCATCCTTGAGGTACAAACGTCTGAACTGGGAGCTGAGGGGCCAACAGATTGAGATGAGGACTGGAGAGGTGGGCAGGAGCCAGCCAGGTCATATAAAGAATGCTGGTTCTGCCTGGCTAGTGTGGCTCAGTGGATTGAGTGCCAGCCTGTGAATCAAAGGGTCACTGGTTCAATTTCCAGTTTAGGGTACATGCCTGGGTCAAGGGCCAGGTTCCCAGTACAGGGGTGCGTGAAAGGCAACCACACATTGATGGTTCTCTCCCTCTCTTTCCCCCTCCCTTCCCCTCTCTAAAAAAGAAATAAATAAAATCTTTTTTAATATGTTAAAAAAATAAAGAATGTTGGTTCTGAGAGGGATGGGGTCACCTTTACCTTCCTGGGAGCTCTAGGGAAAGTCTCACCTCATGAGTTAGGCACTTTTCGATGAGCTGGAGGTAACTGGTGATGTTCTCCTCGTCTGGTCGGGACACCAGCAGCTGGGTGCACACTGGAAGACACGGGAAAGGGCAGGTTAGCCTCCAATATGCCCTCTGCTACAGGAGGGACAGGAACTCAGGCTGGTTGAGTACTAGCTATGTGCCAAGCGTGATACCTGGCTTATCATGAAGATATATAAAGTGCCTAGCATAGAGACTGGCATAAGGCAGACAGAAAGTCAGTGGTACCTTTTCTCCTTCTAACTCTTACAAGAATCTCATCAATGGGCATTTGCAGCATGAGGAACCTGAAGCTCAGAGAAGTTGAGTCACTTATGTAGGCCACACAGACAAAAGGATCTAGACCTGGGTGTAAAGTCTGCTCTATCATGCTGCCTTAGAAAAGTGCTTTCAGAGCTTTACCAAACCCATCCCATGGCCTTCAGTCAACTCGGAGAGAATCAAAGAATTCTTTACCTGTTCACTCTGTACTGTATGCAGTTTCTAGTGTCACACTATCCTGTCTTTTTCTCTCGCTGGAGATGCTTTGAGGGTAAGGGTTTGTCTTCCATCACCAGCCTGGACACACCTGAGGGCAGGGGCCTTGCCATGTCACTCTTAAGTCACTCTCTGTGGTGCTCTCGTCCCCAGGCTGATTTAAAAAGCTCTGCTTCCGCTGTTTAACTTGAATTTGATCCTTAAGGCCTAGGTTCACTTGGATCTCTGCCCCAGAACTCCATGCTGGGCCCTGGTGGTCTCACCTTTGCCCATCACCCGTGTAAACTGGCTGGGGATGTCTCCGTCGGCGACGGGAGCCGGGGCTGGCTCACTGCCATCAGTGGGAACTGGAGCTGGTGGAGGGGGGTAGCTCTCTGCAGCTGGAGGGTCCTTGGCCTCAGTGCCCTTGTCCATGCTAGGATTAGCCAGGGGAGGCTCAGCACCAGGCAGCAGTGGCTCCCCGCGACCCCCGTCCTTGGAAGTAGGGGTTGCGGAGGTGGTGGTAGTGGTCACAGTGGCCTGGAGGACACTGTAGGCCTTGATGGGGGTGATGATGATCTGCTGCAGCTCCTGCAGAGCGTTTCTCAGGTTTCCTCCTTCCAGCACGTCCTGCGTGAGGAGGACATGGTTGGGGTCACATGGTGACCCCACATTTTTGTAGAATGATTACACAAATGGGGTCAGACACAAATGATTACACAAATGATTACACCAATCTTGGAGAGTGCTTGGTGGGGCCCTGGGTTCCAGCTCATAGAGAAGGCAGGTAAAGGCACCACAAGCCCATAGGCATGCATTTGTACACACACATTCCCTCTTCCCCCTTCAAGGTGGAGTCCCACGGAGCTCAAAAGAAGGTGGCCTAATCCTGGGGCCTTAGGGTCCCACCAAAGATGGAACCAGATTTGGATGCAGAGATCTGGACTATGACATGAAGTGGGTAAAAAACAGAAGACAAGAGACAGAGTAAGGTGTAAAGGAATGCAAATCAAGGCAGATATTTAAGGAAAGTGCGTAGATGAGAAACAAACCAAATGGAGACATTACGCACCCAGGGAGACACTTGGTCTACCAGAAAGACTGGTCAGAAATGAAAGGGGAGAGGAGAGGTTAAATTGACAGACAGAGAGACTCTGGGGACACACACCAGGACAGACAGGGAGGGGAGCCTCTTAGCCACAGGCAAGTGAGGCTTCTGATCCAACTTGTACTTGAGTCTGGCTCCCTAAGGCTGTGGTCACTGAAGGTCGGACCTGAGGGCTGGGGAGGTCCTGAGGGGAGGCTACATAGGTAGCAAGGATGACCCAGAACCTTCAGTGTACTGGTACTGCTGGGCACCCAGCTGACCTTGGAGATGGGGATACCAGATCCTCACCTTCTCCAGGGACTTGAGGACGCTCTGCCTCTCACGCAGCTTCTGGATGCTCAGAGCTATCTTGTGGCGGGCACCTTTGGTGACATTCTGTGGTAGGACAGAAGGGGATAGAGAGCTGGAAATGGGAGGCTGAGGTATTTAGGGGTGCCCCGACAAGGCCTAGAGATATGGAGGAGGCTCAGGCCACAAGAGTACTATCAAAATGGTACTGCCCCCAACTTTGCCCTGATGATTTCCTGAGCTTTACCTGAGACTCCAGGTGCTGCTCAGTCAGTGTCATCATCTCCTCGTAGCTCATCTGTGAGAAAAGGGCTGCGTACTTGTGCAAGCGGAGGCTCTTGAGCCATGAGGGCACATCTGTAGAAAAGGAGGGAGGGCAGGGCATAAGGTCAGGAGTCGTTCCATCAGTTACCTGTTTCCTGGCTTTCTTATCAGACTGGGGTGTCTGAGGGCAGGGACTTCTCCCCCATCATACCAGGGTCTGTGGGGGTCTCTCAGATCAGTGTGAACCCCAAGGGCAGGCTTCTCCCCTTCTCTGGAAGGGAGAAGTTGGGGGTTGGAGGGCTGGGATAGGTAGAGTAGTAGCTACAAGCTCCCTTCTGTCCTCTGAGCTCTACAGAAGAGTCCTAGTGCTGCCCTCCCAACCATTGTACCTTTCATGCCACTGCCATCCTCTTGGAAAGTGTTCCGGCTGGAGCCCTGCTCCTCCGTCTGTTCACTACCAGAGGAGGCCACGCTGCTCTGGGGTGAGAGGGGTGCGTGGTCGGGCGTAGTGAAAGCAGCCCGGGCCCCCAGCTCTTCTGGACTTGGCCACTCACCAGGGGCCTGGGGACTTGTGGGAATGAGAGACATAGAGCGCTTCAGCGGGCTGGGGTGAATTTGGCAGGGGAGACCTGGCCAAAGGGGGAGAGAAGCAAAATGTCAGGTTTGGGGATCTGATCACAGGAGACCACTCTGCCCTGGTGAGTGCCATGGATGGCAGCTCAGCTCCAGAATCCAATTAAAGAGAAGGGACCCTGGCATCTGAGGGGAATCGCCTACCAGATGCTGCCCATTCCCTCATCCTTCATACCCAAGCCATCAGCATGCTGTGAGCTACTTCTTTGAACCTCTCCACTTCCTCTGCTTTGCAACCTGGTCTGAGTCAAGAACATCCCTAACTGGAATCACTGTCATAGCATCCTCATTGGTTTCCTGCCTCCTACAGTCCATTCACCTCACAGCAGCCACACTGATCCTTCTAAAAATGCAAATCTGACCAAGTCAGTTTCTGCTTAAATACCACCGTGGTTTCCCTTCATGCTGGGAATAAAATACAAACCCTTTCACATACATCACTACAAGGCCCTGCAGGCCTGGGCCCTATTAATCTCTGACCTCTCCTTTTCTACTCACCTTTTGGTCAAGCTTTCTAGCCTTTGCCCCCACCCCCATTCGTTCCTGGAACACCCAAGCTTGTTCCAGCCTCAGGAGTTTTGCTTTAGCTCTTCTTGTCCTCTTGATTTTAGCAGTTGGCTCCCTCAGGTCTCAGCAAGTGTCACCTCTTCCAAAACCTCCCATGAACCCTCAATATGAAGTAGCTGTCCCCGCCAATCCTAGGTTACTCGATCATGTTACTCTGTCTTGTCTTCCTTACAATACCTATCACAACCTGGAATCATCTTATCTAGTTATCTGTTTACTTGCTTATTCACTATATGCCTCTGATGCAATAGATCTGTAAAGGATAGGGACCTGTCCTGTCCTAGGTATCTTTGTAACCTCAGTAATTAGTGGGGCCAAGAGCAGAGGAATTTCTTCAGAAGTACTTGTAAACGAATGAAATACATCAAATGCACCCTCAACATCCCTGTCCTTGGGCTTCATCACCTCCTCCGGATTTTTTCTTGAACTAAGCGCAAATCGGGGTGAATTCAGGCCCACTTCCACAGGAGGCTGCACACCCTCCATCCATCCATCCATCCCATTCCTAAGGTAGGAAGAGGAATCCAACTTGACTTTTTACCCTTCTCAAGCCAGGGCAGGTTCCCACAGCTCCCAGACCTTTATGCACGCTATTCCCTCTGCCTAGCTCACCACTGTTCCACCCTCATTTGCATGCCACTTCAGCCTTTGTTCCGTCCTCTGTACTCCCTGGGCCCCAGAGCAGCTGCCACCTCAAGCCCAGCACCTACTGCCCTCTTCACTAGCCTGCCTGACTCACTGGACTTTGGGCTTGTATGGAATGGCAACCCTGCCCAATCATTTCTGCAACCCCAGGATCAGGAGGAGCTCAAAGTAGGGCCCCAATGACCTTAAGGGTGGTAACAGCTTCTGAGCTCAACACAGTGACTCTGGAGTAGCTCAAATCCAAGAAAAGGAAAGGAAACAAAGCTGAATGTCTCATCTTAGACAGGGAAGAACATCAAGGCCCAGGGAACTGAAGCCCTTTTGCCCCAGTTACCACAGAGTTGGGAAGCAAAGCAGAAAAACCCGTTTTAATTCTCACGGAAAGGCTGATTCCTGCCAGCACTCCACTGACACCAGCCCAGGAAGGAGGTCCAGCCTGGTACAGACTCCTAAGCACATTCTCTCATCGGTGACATTATCTATGCTTCTGGCCAGGAAGTCATCTGAGGGAGAGAGCAGTGCACTAACCCACTCCCTAAGGCCAGCCTCCAGCCCTGACTGTGACCTCTGGGATCCTCTGCTCAGAGCTCCTTCTAGGCCTCTGAACTCCTAGAAAAAGGTGGTACACTTTGGGCCCAGAAGGGCTGGAGAACCCTCAGTACAGGTCTTTTTATGCCTGCCTTGGTACCTTGGCCTCTTTCTCCCTCCCTTCTCAGCCAAGAAGGAGGCAGGCAAGGCAGAGAGGGAAAGAAATGATCCTGACTGGAATGATTGTGCAGTTTCTAAGGAGCCCTGCTTAGCCCCACACTGGGGTGGAGGCTGACCACAGCATGAGAACTATAAAAACAGGAATGCCGGCCGGAGATCCAGGGCCTCACTCTCTCCAAGAAACCCCAGTCTGTCCTTGGCAGCCCCCCAAACCTACCCTGCTTGCCCTTACAGGCCAATCCTTGCTTCCCACTCAAAAATATTTTAATGGTTTCCTGTTTCCTGCAACTGCTAGAAATTGAAAAGCTTCATCCTATCCTTTAAGGCCCCCCACAATGTGGCCCTAACATGCTGATATCTGGGAGTCAAGACAGACTCAAGTTTAAATCCTGGCTCTACCACATATTAACTATACAATCCCAAGCAAGTCACTTCATTTGCTCCCCTTCATTTCTATTTGAAGTCTTTGGCACAGGGGGAGGCACAGGATAAACACGAATGTTTGCTACAGTTATTACTCATTTAAATCCTTGCACCTCTCCGGCCCTGCCAAACCTGTCTGCATACTGTCTCCTCCAATTCGCCACCCCCATGCCTTCAATCCGAGCCGTGCCTTCTATTTGGAATGCCCAATTCCTTTCTCTCTTCTGGTTCAAACCTCCCTCCAACATTGTTTCAACTTGGCCCTGCAATAGCTGGACCCCGTAGTGAGGAAGAAATGTATGGGCACCCTCCTCTTGATGAGGTCTGAGTATCTTTAGGAGTGTCACTTTTAGGTGGAGGCAGCATAACACCATAGTTAAGAGTATAGTTGTGGAGCCAGACTGCTTGCATTTAAATTCTGGCTACAGCACCTTGAACAAGTGACTTTCCTGTGATGGCCAATGAATGCTTATGTATAACGTTCTAAGAATAGCCCCTGACAAAGACTAAACACTTAATATATTTTAATTACAATTATCATCATTAGTATATCCTCCCAACCTGGATCCAGAAATTGTCATGTTCTGAGACTGAAAAACACCTCCAGTTGCTTGAGTTCCCAGAAATGCCCCCCATCCCTCTATCTTCCCTGATTCTCGCCAGCACCTGGCGGGGAGGCAGGCTACCAGGACACACAGATTTAACTGAAGAAGAAAGGGGCTCGGGGGTAACTGAAGTGTACTAAGTGCTGTACAACTGTGCCCCAGAGACCCAGGGTTCACCCCACCCACTGGCATGGATGACATTTCACTGTCACTTATTCCTAGCCTGTTTTAACCAGTGCCTACCAAAGGGGACCAGCCACACTATAGATAAACCCTACAAATCTCTTGCCTTGAGTCAGGTCATGTTATCACTCCTTGGAAATACCTCTCTCCCCTATCCTGTTCATTTCAACTAACATTTCAAAAACTCATTGGAATACCAAAGTCCTCCTGCTCACCCCAGCCTCCAGGGAGCTTAATAAGAGAGCCTTTTCAAAACCACTTAGTTGGAGGCCAGTGCAGTGGCCTGAGGCCGGCTCTGGTGGCAGACCGCCAGGGTCCGAACCTTGGCCAGTTCTACCTCTTGTTCTGTGTGTGAGCTTGAAAACGTGACTTCACCTCTTGAGTTTCAAGTGTCCTCATCTGTAGAATGGGGCTAATGATTTGGTTGTAATGAGGATTAAATGGGATAATATGTGAAAAGCACTTATAAAGCAGTGTCAAGCACAGTCAATGCTCGGCAGTGTTACCTACCATTACTAATTCACAGCAGCCTGAGTTACAGCTTATTCAAACAGGCTGGGAACAGATTTCTCAGAAATAACACTTTAAGCCGAGACTAGATACAAAAATCAAAATGTCTGAGCTCAAAGGACCCTCAGATTATGGTCATTAACTTAATGCCTTTAGAGGTCGGGCAAATACCAGATATGACCAAAGGTGGGGCAGGGGCGGCAGAGGCAGAGCTGTACTGGGGCACGTGTGTAGAATGTAGAGAGATGGTGACTATTAAATTGCATCTTACTGTTACCACCAGAAATACAGGCCTTGAGCTGCCATAGCTTTTGACTTTTTAAGAGAAGCTAAAATGTGGATCTTTAGGGGAAAACTCCTGATTCCTTCTGTAACCAAATTTATTTAAAAACATAATAAAACCAAAGTGTTGTTCAGTCTGGACTCAATAAAAACACGTCTACAGGTCAGATATGGCTCTGGGAATGCCAGTTCACTACCCCTGCATTGCCTCGTAAGGTGAGACCCAGAGAGGTTGTGTGACTTGCCCAGCATCACAAAGCAAGAAAAGAAAAAGCCCAGCCTGTCCCTTTTCAAGTATGCATGGCCTTCTGAGACCCACTACACCATCACCTGCATTCGCATTGCTCCCAATACTGTTGATGACTGGCGGCACCGAGCTGGGTGGATGGAAGGGCACGTGTCCATTTTCTCGGGGCGGCTTGTCTTGCCAGCCTGGCCCTGCCTCCCCAGGGCCCAGCTCTGCAGGCCCACCCCACTCATCTGAGCCCTGGCGTGAGTGGTAAGTGGGCTCAGGCCGGGTGCGGAAGCCAGTAGCCAGCCGCTCTTCCAGGTGGCTCAGCCAAAGGGCCAGGGAGTTGCGGTCCTCCAGCGTGGTGGCTGGGTGGATAAGGGCATAGGAGAGCAACTGGCGGCTCTCCTCGATGAAGGCATTGCTCTCGATCGAGTAGGCCAGCACTTTCTGCAGCAGCCTCATGTACTCTGACTTGGCCTCCGTGTTGCGTGGCTGAAGCAGGGGCAGGTGGGAGAGCAGGAGAGACACCACCTTCTCTTTGGATTCCTGCTGCCACTGGCTGACGATGGCTGCAGAGGAGACAAGAAAGTGTCAAAGGAGCCAAAGTGGTGAACTTCTCCTATAAATCTAAGAGAGGTGCCTATAGACTGCTCCCTCAGCTCCAATCTCTTCTGCCTTCTCTTTTCATAACCCCCAACCTTGATCCTTATACAGGTAAGGTAAAAAACACTCACTCTGTTTTCAGAGTAAATTTTTCTGGTTCCATCACTCCTATTTTCAAAAACCTGCTGTGGCTCCCCATGAGCCAACCTTGACACTCTATAATCTGATCTGAGCTCCTTCTACTATCTCCAGGACCTATTCTTTTTATTCTTTTTCTTCAGGGCCCCTACCCACTTTCCCTATCAAAACAGCCTCCTGCCAGCCCTGGCTGGTGTGGCTCAGTGGATTGAGCCTAAGAATCAAAGTGTCACCAGTTCGATTCCCGGTCAGGGCACATATCTGGTTATGTGCCAGGTCAGGTCCCCAGTGGGGGGGGGGGGGTGAGTGAGAGGCAGCCACACACTGATGTTTCTCTCCTTCTCTTTCTCCCGCCCTTCCCCTCTAGAATGGCATAATAGCCTGGGGTCTAGAATCACATAACATGACTGCTCTGACTTACCAGCTGGACCTTGAGTGTGTCACCTTGAACCTCACTAGCACTAATTTCCTCACAGTACCCAATTCAGTGTTGCTTTGAGATTCAATGGGCTAATAAAGAATGGAAAGTTGCCTGCCATACAGAACATATTTAATAAATGTTCATTGTTGTTTAACTGATCTCTATAACCTCTATATTTCCCCCTTCCAATCTGTCCCATAAAGCGAGATGAACTGTATCTTCCTTAAGCACACCAGGATGTCATATTTCTGACCTGGAGGTTACAGTATAAACCAGTACCAACAGACTCAAGTTCAAAAAGTCCTAGCCCTAACACATCACCACCATTTCTAGGGCATTTACCACCTCCTATTCTTCCAGGTAAAGACTCAGCTCAGGGTACCCCCATCTTCCCTGAGCCTCTCTCCATGCCATATTTATCTAAGCTCCCACTCAGGCTAAGATTCAAGGCTTTAGCCTACAGCAATCTCCTTCCTCCTGTGTCTTTTTTTTTTTTTTTTAAGATTAAAAAAAATTTTATCTTTAGAGGGGAAGGGAAGGAGAGAGGGGGAGAAATATCAATGTATGGTTGCCTCTCGTGCATCCCCTGCTGGGAACTGGCCTGCAACCCAGACATGTGCCCTGACTGGGAATCGAACTGTGGGCCTTTGGTTTGCAGGCCTGCACTCAATCCACTGAGCTACACCAGCCAGGGCCCTCCTGTGTCTTTTATGACTGCCAAAACCTGCCTTCCTCCGGGGAGCCTCCCCTGGCTACTCCAGGCCATAGCAATCTGGTGGTATCTCCTTCCAATCACACAGTCTGCGGGCCTGAGTCTGTCCTGTGGAGATGAGCTAGGTTTCCTGTCTTGACCCAGAAGGGAGCTCCCTAAGAATAAGGCCCAGGCTGGTTATATACAGGAGGCTTTGGAGGAACTGTTACATGTCTCACTGTCTCATCCTTGAAAACGTGTTAGTCCTTCCATAAGTAGCTCAGTAGAGGATTGGGGGTAATGCTGACAGGGCAAAGAAAAGTGACAAAGAATACCAATAGTTGAGAAAAGAGATAATGATCAAGGACTGGAGTCAACTCTGCCCTTACTCCTGGGCATCAGTTACTATATCTTACTATGGCTCCTTGCTTTTATTTATTTATTTTAAAAGATTTTAGCTCTGTCTGGTGTGGCTCAGTGGACTGAGTGCCAGCCTGTGAATCAAAGGGTCGTTGGTTTGATTCCTGGTCAGGGCACATGCCTGGGTTGTGGACCAGGTCCCCAGTAGGGGATGCATGAGACGCAATCACACAATGATGTTTCTCTCCCTCTTTCTCCTTCCCTTTCCAGCTCTCTAAAAATAAATTAAAAAATATATACAGGGAATCAACAGGAAAGGAAAGGAAAGGAAACCAGGACTCATGATTTGGAAGAAAAGGAAGAAATAAACATTCGACTGGTACAAAATGAAGAAAACAAAAGACTTCAAAAAAATCAGGAGAGGCTTAGAACCTCTGGGACAACTTTAAATGTCCCAACATCCAAATCATAGAGATGCCAGAAGGAGAAGAGGAAGAGCAAGAAATGGAAAACTTATCTGAAAAAATAATGAAAAAAAAACTTCCCCTGCCTGGTAAAGGAACTAGACACGCAGTCCAGGAAGCTTAAGAAGTTGGATCCAAGGAGAAACACACCATGACACACCATAATTATATTATCCAAGATTAAAGGTAAAGAGAATCTTAAAAGCAGCAAGAGAAAAAGAGACAATTACCTACAAAGGAGTTCGCACTATCAGCTGATTTCTTAAAAGAAATCTTATAGGCAAGAAAGGGCCGAAAGAAGTATTCAAAGTAAGGAAAGACAAGGACCTCCGTTCAAGATGACTCTATACAGCAAAGCTATCATTTAGAATGGGGGAAAAAAAATGGAAGGGCAGATGAAGTGCTTCCCAGATAAAGTCAAGTTAAAGGAGTTCATTATCACCAAGCCTTTGTTATATGAAATGTTAAAGGGATTTATCTAAGAAAATGAAGACCAAAACTATGAACAGTAAAATGACAACAAACTCACAACTATCAACAACTGAACCTAAAAAAACAAAACAAAACAAACTAGGCAAACGAAACTAGAACAGGAACAGAATCACAGAAATGGAAGTCACATGGAAGGTTATCAGAGAGGTGGTAGGGGGGAGTATGGGGGCAAAAGGTACAGGAAATAAGAGGTACAACTAACTGGTAGGCACAAAATAGACAGGCAGAGGTTAAGAACAGGAAATGCAGAAGCCAAAGAACTTATAAGTATAACCCACAAACATGAACTAAGGGTGTGGGGGAGAGTGCTGGAAGGGAAGGTACAAGGTGAAGGGGGATAAAAGGGAGGAAAAAATGGGACAACTCCTGGCTGGTGTAGCTCAGTGGATTGAGCGTGGGCCTGCGAACCAGACAATTGCGGTTTGATTCCCAGTCAGGGCACATGCCTGGGTTGTAGGCCGGTTCCCAGCAGGGGACGCACGAAAGGCAACCATACATTGATGTTTCTCCTCCTCTCTCCTTCCCTTCCCCTCTAAAGATAAATAAAAATCTTTAAAAAAATACTTTAAAAAATGGGACAACTGTAATAGCATAATCAATAAAATAACAAAAAACCAAATACAATAAAAGCAAAAGGTTGCTGGTTTGATTCCCAGTCAGGGCACATGCCTGGGTTGTAGGCCATGTCCCCGGCTGGGGGCAAGTGAAAGGCAGCCAACTGATATTTCTCACTGATGTTTCTCTCCCTCCCTTCCCCTCTCTCTGAAAATAAATCAATAAAATTTTTACTAAAAAGAAAAATATTTTATTTTATTTTTTTTTAGAAAGAGAGAAGAGAGGGAGAAACAGAGGGAGAGAAACATCGATGTGAGAGAGAAACATCCATTGGTTGCCTCTTATAGATGCCCGGTCTGGGACTGAACCCATAATCCAGGCATGTGCCCTGACTGGGAATCGAACCTGTGACCTTTCACTTTGTGGGATGACACCCAACCAAGCCACACCAGTCAGGGCTCATGCATGGTTCCTTTCTTCTAAATATCCAGTTGGCATAAACCAACTCCTGGCCCAGGAAACAGAGAGGCTGGAAATGGGCATGTATATAAGGAGAGCCAAAGAATTTTGGGCATCTAGATCCCTCTGCACCTGACAATGTCTCAACACAATTTCCTTAGGTCTTAAGATTCCAGGGACCTCCAGTCTTCCCTGTCTACACTACAGGCTGACACCTGGCCACTGAGACCTATGAATAAAAAATCCTTTTGCATCTCTCTTTTAATGACCTGTTTGGAAATCTATGGCTAGGAACTCACATAAACTTCTGGTTCTGCTTAAATTGGTAGCTTTGTGAATATGACACACACAGCTCCCAACTCCTGGCCATATTTAACTGCATATTGTCTTGGCCTGGGCCTCTCTGCTCCAAGCTTCCTAGAGAATCCCTGTTAAAACTGCCCAGGGATCCATTTATTCAGAGTCATCAGTTCATGCTATACCCACAGTACCGATTAAAATAGAATAGTAATACAGTCACCTCCCCACCTGATCCATGGGGAATACGTTCCAACACCCCAGGTGATACTTGAAACTGCAGATAGTACTGAACACTATATTTACTATTTTTCTCCAATATACATACCTATGATAAAGTGTAATTTATAAATTAGGCATAGTAAGAGATTAACAACAATAACAGAACAATTATAACAATATGCTCCAATAAAAGTTATGTGAATGTGGTCTCTCTCTCTCAAAACATCTGATAACCAATCTGATATTGAGGATGGCTGCTAAGTAATTAATGGGAGGGTAGCGTATATAACACGGATATGCTGGATGAAGGGATAATGCACATCCCAGGTGGGATGGAATGGGATGGTGTAAGATTTCATCACACTTCTCAGAATGGCACACAGTTTGGTCCCAGCCAGGTAGCTCAGTTGGTTAGAGCATTGCCCTGATATGCCAAGGTTGTAGGTTCTATCCCCAGTCAGGGCACATATAAGAATCAACCAATGAATGCATAAATAAGTGGAACAACAAATCAATATTTCTCTTTCAAATCAATAATATAAAAAATGACACACAATTTGTAACTTATCTGCCTCCAGAATTGGGAGGAACTTTACCCGTAACCCTCTACTCTCTCCCCAATGCCAGGTCTCTTCTTCTTCTTCCCTGTTCCTGGCTTTCCAGAGTCCCTTCAGGACCCATCACTCAAGGCTAGGAAACCTCATCTTTTCTGTCTCTTCTCTCGAACCAGCTTCCATGACCACAAAACTTTCTCTTGGGTCATCTCCATATTTAAAGATCTTCCCAAGGTGAGACAGGCCTTCCTGACTTCAGGGAGCCTTCACCTTTCCTAACCTCCCACTTCCATCTGGCACTGGATCACATGGG